TGATTCTGGGTGGGATCCTCTGAGGGTCAGTGTGGATGTGTTGGGCTGAAGGGTCTGTTTCCACACTGTAGGGATACTAAGAAACCACGTTTGTAAGACTCCACAGCACATTTCTGTCACCAAATAGGATTTTTTCCCTATTCATTTGTAGGACGTGGGCGTTGCTGGCTGACCAGCATTTCTTGTCCCTCCCTAGTTGCCCTTGAGAAGGTGATGGTGAGCTGCCTTCTTGAACTGCTGCAGTCGACCTGCTGTAGGCTGACCCACAATGCCATTGGGGAGGGAATTCCAAGATTTTGACCCAGCGACAGTGAAGGAATGGAAATATACTTCCAAGTCAGGATGGTGAGTAGCTTTGAGGGGGATTTGGAGTTGTTGGTGTTCCCATATGTTTGCTGCCCTTGTCCTTCTAGGTGGAAGTGGTCATGGGTTAGGAAGGTGCTGTCTGATGATCTCTGGTGAATTTCTATAGCGTGTCTTGTAGATAGTACACACTGCTGCTACCGAGTGTCGGTGGTAGAGGGAGTGGATGCTTGTGGACGTAGTGCCAATCAAGCGGGCTGTTTTATCCTGGATGGTGTCAAGCTTCTTGAGTGTTGTCGGGGCTGTACTCATCCAGGCAAGGGGGAGTATTCCATCACACTCTGACTTGTGCCTTGTAGATGGTGGACAGGCTTTGAGGAGTCAGGAGGGGAGTTACTCACCGCAGTATTCCTAGCTTCTGGCCTGTTCTCGTAGCCACTGTGATAATGTGGTGAGTCCAGTCGAGATTCTGGTCACTGATAACCCCAGGATGTTGGCTGAAGACTAGTATCTGTAATGCTGGGGACCAGTGGAGGAGGCTGAGATAGATCATCCATTCAACATTTCTGGCTGAAGATTGCTGCGAATGCTTCAGCCTTGTCCTTTGCACGGATGTGCTGGGCTCTTCTGTCATTGAGGATGGGAATATTTGTGGAGCCTCCTCCTCCAGTGAGTTGTTTAATTGTCCACCATCATTCACAACTGGATGTGGCAGGATTGCAGAGCTTAGGTCTGATCCATTGGTTGTGGGATTGCTTAGCCCTGTCTATCACTTGCTGCTTTCGCTATTTGGTGTGCAAGTAGTCCTGTTTGCTGGCTTAACCAGGCTGATACTTCATCTTCAGGTATGCCTGGTGCTGCTCCTGGCATGCCCTCCTGCACTCTCCATTGAACCAGGGTTGATGATAATGGTGGAGTGGGGGATATGCCAGGCTATGAGGTTACAGATTGTGCTGGAGTACAACGTTGCTGCTGTTGACGGCCCACAGCGCCTCATGGATGCCCAGCTGTTAGATCTGTGTGAAGGCTGTCTCATTTAGCACAGTGATAGTGCCACACAACACGATGGAAGTTATTCTCAATGTAAAGGTGGGACTTCATCTTCACAAGGACTGTGTGATAGTCACTTTTACTGATACTGTCATGGACAGATGCAACTGCAAGTGGCAGAATGGCAAAGATGAGGTCAAGTATGTTTATCCCTCTTGTTGGTTCCCTCACCACCTGCCGCAGACCCAGTCTAGCAGCTATGTCCTGTAGGACCCGACCAGTTCGATCAGTAGTACTGCTGGTGGTGTACATTAAAATCCCCCACCCAGAGTACATTTTGTGCCCTTGCCCTCCTCAGTGCTTCTTCTAAGTGTTGTTCAATATTGAGGAGTACTGATTCATCAGCTGAGGGAGGACAGTATGTAGTAATCAGGAGTTTTCCTTGCCCATGTTTAACGTGAAACCATGAGACTTTATGGGGTTTGGAGTCAATGTTGAGGACTCCTAGAGTAACACCCTCCCAACTGTATACCACTGTGCCGGCCCTGTCGGTGGGACAAAACATATCCAGGGATGGTGATCATGGTGTCTGGGGCATTATCTGTAAGGTATGATTCTGAGAGTATGACTATGTCAGGCTGTTGCTTAACTAGTCTGTGAGACAGCTCTCCCAATTTTGGCACTAACCCCCAGATGTTAGTGAGGAGGACTTTGCAGGGGTTTCTTTGCTCAGTTTCCCTGGGCAGATAGTGAAGTGGATCAGCTGATCAGCTGATCAGAACATGGCAAGTGGACACTTGAAAGTTAACTAAGGCACTAATTTGGGGCAAAGTTGCAGCCACATCAGTACTTTCCTGCCAGCAGAAAGGCACCTCCAACCCCAAACAGAGATTTTTCCAACTCACTGGAGGAATTGTCTCAAACATTCAGGCTATGTGCATTAAAGATCACAATCGTGATGGATACCAATCCAGTGGGGTTTCCTTCTGGGGTTTGAGGTTTCAGAAATACCGGTCCTCTGACTGGGCTGACAGCATCGAGAACTTCCCTGCCATCTTTAATAGACTAGTGAATGAGGGGACCGCCAATTAGGAGGCTATGTAGGGTAAGCTGGTAGGAACATGGTTAGCAAGTGCTGGCTTATGACTACCATTTGGATCAGACATCAGATTCTTAAACTCACGAGAAAGTCCAGCTTCATGTTTTTCTTTATACAATAATTCAAGTATATGGGGCCATATCAACAAATGCCATTTTACCAATTTACAAATGGGTTTGGGATTGATTCATGTTCAGTTTAAAGATCATGTACCCAGATTGCAACTCAGAGGCCTCCAGCTCTAGAGATGACATGTGATTTTCAATGGAAGCTTGAGGAGGAGAACAGAAAACTGGTTCTTTTCTAATGAGTGACCAATTAAGCTCCCTGAGCTGCTTCTCAGCTGTTTCAGAAGTGCTTATTGATTATTTTAGAAATCCTGTGACTTGAATTTGACAACGTCATGTTGCACTCATAGATGACAATTCAGCAATGAGTCCTACATATAAAATGATTTTTATCTGCTCTGCGACTTTATGTGGTGTTAAAAAAAATTGAAGTTATGCTTCCAGATTTATTCATTACAAGCATAGATAAAGGACAATAAATTATTTATTACAGATTGTAAGACGACCACCACTGCTTTTGGTTTGGCAGTACTACAATTGATTATTTCTTGATGCAGTTGCAGTATCACATCACAAACATTCCTGTGAACTTCAAGTGTCAATGATATGCAGTTACAGCTAATATTGCCAATTCAAAAATTTGATGTCAAGTTAATTAACTTTACATTGTAAAGTTATTCATACTTTTGAGATTATTTTAGGTTAAACATTACTCAATTCATCTATTAATTCAACTTTGAGTTTTGATTACATTGTCATTTTGTGCAATGGATTGTTTTTATAATTAGTTGTAATTTTTTTGCAATTAATTGCCAAAGTAATGAACTCTGGAATATCTAGCATACATTATGAGCATGTAAAAATAATAATAGCTTCTTGCAACCCTATTTAAAAGTTTGATCCATTTTCTATAAGTGAAGTACTGAAAAGTTTGAGGAGTTGGTAGCACCAATACTGCTTTCTTTCAGGTACCAATGCTGCTAAAAACTTGTCCTATTCCATCATTTATACCATGGTATATCAGAGTAAAGAAAAGAAAACTGGCAGAAAAAGGAGAGACAAAAACAGGAACGGGAAAATCCATGAAATCACAAGTAAAATAATTGCTGGGGTTCTACCCAAAATGTGTTTCACGATAGCTATGGAAATCCCTTTGTAACCCACTTTGCCTACAAACATGTTCTTTATCAAGAAAATCCCAAATGAAAAACAGGTAAAGCAGTAAATGTGAAGAATGACTATTTCCAATTTGCTCACAGGGAGTTGGGTCTGGAAAAACTTTTTTTTTGTGTAGCATTCTGTCTTTAGATGAATGAGAGATATTCTAGCATATAGTCAATGCAATCAAACTTTTTTTGGCTTTTGTGCCGCAGTGCAAAATACCACTGCATCTCTAGTCTTTGTGGCTTCGCCCAGTAACAGACAAGTGAGCAAGTAGATACTCAGACTCCAGGTTTATGGGCCTCCTTGGGCTCCTCAGTTAAAAAACATACTGCATCGACAAACGTCTCATCTGTCAGTTCCATTGTGCAGCAAATGGTGTGTTCCACTGTGGGATACATTTCCTATACTGTCTTTGCTAGAACTTCCATCGCAGTCTCCTGCAGGTGAATAAAAAGACCCAGACTTGGGAACCCTGCAGCCCAATGGTATCAATGGGGATTTCACAAGTTTCAAAATCTCCCCTCCCCCCACCGCATCCCAAAACCAGTCCAGCTCGTCCCTGCCTCCCTAACCTGTTCTTCCTCCCACCTATCCCCTCCTCCCACCTCAAGCCGCACCTCCATCTCCTACCGACCAACCTCATCCCGCCCCCTTGACCTGTCCGTCCTCCCTGGACTGACCTATCCCCTTCCTAACTCCCTACCTACACTCACCTTTACTGGCTCCATCCCCGCCTCTTCGACCTGTTTGTTTCCTCTCCACCTATCCTCTCCTCTATCCCTCTTCTATCCGCCTCCCACTCTCTCCCTATTTATTTCAAAACCCCCTTCCCCTCCCCCTTTTCTGATGAAGGGTCTAGGCCCGAAACGTCAGCCTCTCTGCTCCTATGATGCTGCTTGGCCTGCTGTGTTCATCCAGCCCTGCACCTTGTTGTCTCAGACTTGGGTTGGTTGGCATTAAATTTCTCCCCCTCATTCTTGGCAATTTGCACAATCATATCCCATTTGAATCCAGCACGGAGCATTGACGATTGTGGTTTCCATCACTATTTTCCATGCCTTCTTCATCATGAACATGGCCTCTATAACATTTGGATTGCACTGCTACCTCTTGCTGATGGCCTCAATAGCCTGTGAGATCGACTACCATTAGAAGAGTGTCTTCAGGTTCCTAGACACTCTTACATTGGCTGAATGTCTGCCATAGTGTTAGAAGGTAACAGTGTCAGCTGGACTCTCAAGACTAGCAACATCAGCGTCTCGGGGCAGTTATCTCTATATATGACAAATTTCCTTTTCTTCCACTGATACGGTCTGTCCAATTTTCCGATCTTCAGCTCAGATACATTGGAGGTCATCCAGGCAGTTTTGTTAGCCTTATATTGAATGGGTTGTGTCTTGACATTTGCAAAGCAACAAGTTTTTTCTGGATTTTCCTATCATAAGAAGCAGTAGCTTTTAAAAGTGATATCCATGTTAACAGGCCAGAGCAGTGACATGTTCTTTGCCCTGCTTTCCATAATCACTTGTTTCATTTTTAACTTTCAAATAATGGTTTGACAAAAAGACAACAAACAGACTGCACTGAAAAAAATAAATTTAGTTTTTCTGGTCATTAACACACACTGGATTGTGATAGCTCGTTCTGTACAAATGCATGCCTTGTTTCTAACATACAATATGGAAAACATTTCAAAAACACTTAATTAGCTGCAAAGCATGTTGGAATGCCCTGAGGTGCTGTAATGAGCTTTGTAAAATAATTTACAATTTTTTTTTCCAGTAAATTTTTGTTGCGCCTCCACCACTGAAATGTGGTGAGTCAAATTCGGATAACCCAAAATTCCTATGGTGTTTATGTTGTCAGCTGTTTCTGCCAATGAACAGCAAGTCCAATAGAATAATACCTTGATACGTCTTAGCCTTGGATTAGCCAAGTACATGCAAACTTGCCATGTGACTATGCCAACCAGTAAGAGCAGAGTTAGGCCACGCTAAATCATCATGACAGCAAGATTTACCTGTGGCAGAATGTCCAAAATCTGTTCAAAACTTTTACTTAGTCAGGACTACAAAACCAATTTGTAGCCAATCTATCAATACTACCATAACCACTGCACCCTTCCAGTGCAGAAGGAAATGCAGTGCACTGTCTTGAATTGGTCCAGCCATCCATCACGGCAGGTGAACTCCTTGGTGCCCAGCCTCTGTGCCAGGGCAACTTCCCTTTCCTGCAGAACTACCATACATGGGGTACGTCTCTTGAACCACATTAGCAGAGCTTCTTCAATGTTAGGGAACCATTCTCACCCTCTCTCTTGCTGGAGAGAATGCTTGCTTGTTTGCCTTGTGCTTCAAAACATTGACAAACTCGATGGAGGAATCTCCCAATTTTTAGCAATGCCTGCTTTTTGCTTTATTCCATGGTTTCTCAATTGCTGCAGCAACTTCACTTTCTTTCCAATCACCACAGAACTTTCTCACAGGCTTTGCCACAGTTGCAGGGCTTGAATGTTCTTTCACAGGCAGATCTTGATATTAAATGATGATTTAGCATGGCCAAACTCTGCTCTAATGGGTCGGCATGGTAACATGACAATCTCACCTGCAATCTGCTAATCTGAAGCTACGTTTGGTGTGTTTGCCTTTATTGGTCAGTGCATTGAGTATTGCAGTTGGGAGGTCACGCTGTGGCTGTACAGGACATTGGTTAAGCCACAATTAGAACACTGCATGCAATTCTGGTCTCCCTCCTACAGGAAGGATGTTGTGAAACTTGAAAGGGTTCAGAAAAGATTTACAAGCATGTTGCCAGGGTTGGAGGGTTTGAGCTATAGGGAGGCTCAATAGACTGGAGCTATTACCCCTGGAGCGGCAAAAACTGAGGGGTGACCTTATAGAGGTTTATAAAATCATGAAGGGCATGGATAGGGTAAATAGACAAGGTCTTTTCACCAGCGTGAGGAATCCAAAACTAGAGGGCGTAGGTTTAAGAAAGAGGGACCTAAGGGTCATTTTTTTCACGCAGAGGGTGGTGCATGTATGGAATGAACTGCCAGAGGAAGCAGTGGAGGCTGGTACAATTACAACATTTAAAAGGCATCTGGATAGGAATATGAATACGAAAGGTTTAGAGAGATATGGGCCAAATGTTAGCAAATGGGACTAGATTTATTTGGGATATCTGATTCGGCATGGACAAGTTGGACTGAAGGGTCGGTTTCTGTGCTGTATATCTCTGACTGTATATCATGGCAGTTTTCTTTTGGATTGCTTTTGCTGTTTTGCTTTGGAATTTGGGTTATAAGAAGAATTTACTGGAAAAAATTGAAAATGAGTTTATTTATATAGCTCATCACCTCAGGCCATCATAAAATGCTTTGCAGCCAATTAAGTATTTTTGAAATGCTTTTCATGTTGTAGTATAGAAAACAAGGCACAAGCTTTGCACAAAACAAGCACAAACAGCGTAATGACTATAGAAATTGTTTTACGCAATGTTGATAGAGGGATAAATATTGGTCAGGTTATTAGCGTTATCTCACATGGAATCTTTTGTATCCACCCGAGAGAACAGACAGGGTACCGATTTAACTTGTCAACCTGCAACATTACAGTTTTGCCTCAAGTTCTACACGGGAGGGCAAACAAGACTCTGATGCTCAAGTCACAGGAGTGGAACTTGATACCACAATGCTCTACTCGGGTTAAGAGGACTACCAATTCAGCCACAGCTAATATGGTTAAAGAGGAACCTGACTAGCTGTTGGTGGCTAAGTCAGAAAGCTATAATTGGGAATTGTGTGATAGCACTACAAAATTTTCGAAGCAGCAGGACTCATAAATCAAGTCCAAAACGCAACATGCATATAGGATTTATGAAGTTCAACATTTACCATTAGCACAAGACACACATGCTTTGGCAAATCATCAAGACCACTCTGTTTCATTTATATTTGGTACATTAAATTAAGCTTGTATATTCAAATGGCAAATAAGTTACAATTTTCTGTCTATTAACTATGGAGCCTCAAAATGTCCCTCTTACAATTGTGGATGTAATCTGGTTCTACCTCAGTACAAAGAGATATAAAGTGTGGAGTGTTGAACTTTCATTCCGAGAACATGAATAACTTGCACATCTTGATATAGAAGCAGGGAATAACTGAGCCAGAAAGTACAGTGGAAGACTAAGAAAGTTGAGAAGCTAAGTAAAAATGCCTAAAATATCTGATAAAAGTAAAAAGGACAGAGAAGTAAATGGAGAGATTAAGAAATGGCATTTATGCTACCCTTAATGGTTAATGAAAAATTTTCACCATCACTATTTCTTACACAATCATTCATTTCAACAATCACTTTTTTTTTACTATTACTTTAAATAATTTAAATTCAAGAATGTGCATGAGTTTCTAAACTCAGATGTGTGGAAGACAAAGTAGTATACATTGTAGAATTGACATTATAGAATTGACATTATGACTGAACTGACAGTTTTCTTTCCTAAGAAAATCTTCCCAACAAGTATCCTTTGCCATCTTTAAGCTGTCAAATGATATTTCATTCTTTAAATCCATCATGTCATTTTGTCATACGGGTTTCGTATTTCTCCTCATCAGACTTAACCCTACTTCTGTTCGATTCTTCGTTCTTAATGTCCCTACGTTTACATAGCTTTATGTTCTTTGAGCTGCATCAACAAAATAGTGCTAGAATCTTTAACATCATGTTTGTCCGATCCTGCCTGTTTTTCACCAAACTGAGCTAATATCTGCTACTGCACCTTTGATAAAGGCATCTTACTTGTTCCTACCCTAAAATAGCCACACTCAGCAATGAGGGGTAACTTTTTCACGCAGAGAATGCTGCGTGTATGGAACGAGCTGGCAGAGGAAGTGGAGGAGGCTAGTACAATTGCAACATTTAAAAGGCATCTGGATAGGTATACGAACAGGAAGGGATTAAGAGGGATATGGGCCAAATGCTTACAAATGAGACTAGATCAGATTGGAATGTGTGGTTGACACAGATGAGTCAGATGGAAGGGTGACCAACCGTGCTGTATGACTATGACACAACCAACATACCAGGACTAACTGTGCAATTCTAACCTCCCAAAATAGTTAAAATATCTGACAGCTTGTGTTTGGATTCTCGCCCATTAATGCATCGTGCCTACCAACATTCTTGCCACCTGACAGTGGAAAATCGCATCCCTTGAGATCTAATTGTAAGAAGGTAGGTGCTTTACTTTGGAATCTTACTGGATAGAAGTCGTGCCATTAAGAGAGTTAGGGGATCAGAGACAAGAATGGGGGTGTAGTTTTCAGTGGCAACCTTCTTCCCTCACATTTACTGACCCAACTGGCTCCAGATTGGTGAAAATGGAGGATCCTCCTTCCCCAACCTGACAGGCAGGCTACCCACCAATTTTCTCATCTGCCAAGGCAGGTGATTGCCTGGTGGCACTGGGGCAATCAGGGCTGTTAATTGACTACATAAAGGCTTCAATTGCTGGCAAGATGACAAAGCCCCCCATGGATATTCTCATTCAACATGTAATTGATGAGATGAGCAAGTGCAAGTATCTCACCAGGCCTAACTCACCCAATTATTTGCCCTTCTTACCACCTCCAGAGAGGGGAAAATTGCACTCAATGGCTACTTCTTGCAAACTCCTAGCCCATCCTTCAAATACCATCTCCAACTTTCCAACACTGCTACACAAATTTCTTACAAATTATGTCTTACCTATATGAAACATTGTAATCAATAAACATATATAGCTAATATAATTTTAATAATTGTGAAAGTGGTTTTATGTAGTTTCTTTGCAATTGTTCACAATTATAAAACTAAGCCCAGAAATATCACTAATCTTTCTACAATAAATGCTATCCAACTTTAATCACTTTTAACCATAATTTCATGGGAGATCCACTCATTAGACAAAAAGGGCTGAATAAAAAAAACTTCTAATTCTTTATTGTAATTTGATTTTGAAAAGAATACTTGAACTATTACAATACATATAACTCAAAAAAAAATTAAAAGTAAGGGATGTATGTGCCGTTGGAAATGCTGCTGCATAGAAGGACATGTTTCAATGCTGTGAATTTTTCAAATTCTGGCACAAATATATTTACAGTAGTATTGTGAGTCATGTATACAGGAAACTTAAAAAAACAACAAAATTCCTTACCTGGAAGCACCAAGCTAGCTGCAGCTAGAAAATTATTTTGGATCAGGATTTCTACAAAGTCATGAACTGTGGCATTGGTTGTTCCCCAATCAAATAGAAGCTCAGCAGTGGGGCTCTTGCCCATAGGAATCACTCCTTCAAATCTCCTGAACACACAAAAATTGTTCTATTAAATCAAAAACTGTTTTGCTAAAGTCCACAAACAACTAATTCTTCCTCGACAAGAAATCATAGGCAGAATTTTGAGTCAGCATTCAGATATCAGAACCAAAGAGATAATCCTATCACTTGTGGTCATCCAGCATTGACTTTCCATAAATTGGCCAATTAGTGTCCAATGAATATACTTAACATTCAAGAGGCTCTAGGGGGACCTCCTGTGGTACAGTAGTAGTGTCATTGCCCCAGACCAGAGGGGCCTGAGTCATGTCCCATCTACTCCAGAGGTGTGCAATAACATCTCTGAACAGATTGATTAGGAAAACTAGGTCAAGGGGTTCTTGGGATGCAGTTGTAGTACGCCTACCTTTAAGCCAGCAGTGTGTCCTGACACCCATGAATAGCCTGAATAAAAGTCTCTATACTCAACATTCAATTAAAGGCAATGGGCAGGCTCTCCACCTGAAGGGTCAACAGTATTCTGTGTTTTGGTTTATTTTCTGTATTTTAAGATGGCACCAGTGGTGACACTAAGCAACATTTTCACTGTATTTTTAATAAATACACGTGACAATAAATCAGATCAGTGGTCCCTCTGGTTCTAATATCAGTGTGGAGGGAACCGCCGCCTGCCTTTGCAGGCAAGGCAAAGGATACATCCATTTTGAAGTGCCTTCTAAGCTACTTTTAAAAGATACATTTTAAAAGTAGCTGCAACTATTGGACCAACATGTTGGAATCCTCACATACAGTCATAGCCATGGCCAAGTAGATATGGAGGGTGTCAAAGTCTGCCTGTCGCACAGGTACCTTCCCCATTGTCCCTCAGACGCAACCTGCCACCTAGAAGTCAAATCTGAAGACTAGCCTGTCCTTGAAGCTACTTTGGGTTTGGAGGTCAAATGGAAAATTTCAAATAAACTCTGATAATTGACCTTAACTGCCCTTTTACCTATTTTAATCCATCAGCTGCCTGTTGTGGCAGGGTAGTCCTTCCACATCCGAGTCACAGGATGTTGCCAGCAAACTGGCATGCCGACCTCTATGTGGCCCCATATAAGGACACAGATTCAGGCCCATTACTGGATTACAATGATTATAAAAACACAAACCGAATACTGCAAACTTCAAACCAAGTAATATGTTCCAACAATGCTTAGTTAGCAACTACGACAAACAAAAATCTATTATTGATAATTCAAATCTACACTGTGTACTAAACACAGAACAATCAAATAAACAGAATTATACATAAATAAAATTGAAAAATGAAAATTAATAAAAATTGTAATATTGTATATTACGCTATACAATAAATTGTACTTTGAAATATTAATAATAGGTGGAATGGGGAAAAACACTACTGAATCCCAGTTTGTGTTACAAAGGACTTGTAAAATATTTATTTAAATAACCAGAAAGCTGTTAGTTGAACCGTTAAGCTGATGTATATTCAACTAATGGATTCAAGTGCTAGCCTGTCAGAACAGATATTTGCAATTGTACAGTTATTAGCTTATGTTTGATGTTTAAGTGCATCACCGTAAGAGCAGCAATTGGTGTGGTTAGTATGGCAATCTCTCAAGTGAGTTAAACAGCAGAGATTGATTGAGAGTTCTAAGCTATCCAGTATACTACTATTGGTGGGAGAGAAGTGCTGGGCATGGGAGGAAGGGTGGTGGGTTGAGGGAAAGTAAGTTTTATTCCTTCCCTAGAAGAATATTTTCGCAGCTCTAAGTTGTAGATGAGTCTACCCATTGGTGCTGGTTGATTTAGGGTCACCAGGCCGTTATGGGTTTAAGGCAAGATTTCCACACCCATCTAGAGAGAAAGTCCTGCCTCAGAGCTGTGGAACAATCTATTGGCCAACTGCTCTCTAGTCCCAGTAGCATTGCTGGTAGTGTTTATCACTGCTGGAACTTTGTGGCAAGGAGCCACGGAACTAGAGTTAAAGGTAGATTTGGGGAGAAATTCCCCTTTCCCCACATAATGAAAGCTACTGGGGTTGGCAGGGGTCTCTCCTGCTCTGGCAAGAGTCTCAATTCACTCATAGGCAGACTGGCCTCTCAATGCACATGTACCCCTGGTAAATGTAGTAGGCAGATAGGTGGGACGCATGGCACAGGTAACATGATGTAGATTTTACAGGCTCCCTTTCCCCACATCTCTCATCCCAATACCAGTGTTGGGAGGGGTTGGAGGCATAAAATCTAGCCTTGTAAGTTAACTAAATGCTTAGTTGCTTTTCAGTCGGATACCTTCTGCATTTGATCAGTTCCATGCACTGTAGTGTAAAATAATTTCTGAAATAAACTTCATCTGTATCTGCAGTTAATATTGTAGGGTTTAGATGGGATGTTTTGTCCTAATTAAAAGCAATTTTTAAAGTCAACTTTCCATATATGCAAGTTACTATCTTTAAAGCATTCAAGTAATTGAAGGGTGGCAGTGGTGGTGTCTCAATTTCTTGAGAAAGGAAGCCTGGATTTCAAGTCCCACTTGCTCCAGAGGTGTGTAATAACAACTCCCCACAGGTCAATTTGAAAAATAGAGTAATTGTGTTTGGCCATGTGATTTTTTACATCAACCTGAAAAGTAGTTAACGAACCCTTGTCTTTTCCTGATTTTGCTATGGTAATTGATCAGTATAAATTAACTCTGGCTGCAAATTAAACAGTGAAAGTGTGCCAAGGATCTTCAATGTATTTGGTGTTTGCTGGGATCTTCTGCAGTATTATATACCATCTTCATGCAATTGTGTCCCTTCAACAGTCTTGCCTACCTTATATGTAACTGGCTGTATCTTAGTTCTCCTGTAGGCTTTTTTATGCTTACTGCTAGTTTCTTCCAACCATCTTGTGGATCCAGCATGTCTGACAGTTCTTGGATGAGCCCATGGTTCAGGTGGCGGATGTAGGATTTTGGAGTCAATGATTTACTCATTTTCCTTCATTTATCAGAAAATAAGTATGTGAATCAATTTTACTAAAGGAAAACAGAAACATACAAATAAGACCAGGATGAGGAGACAAAAGGTCAGGAGTAAATGGGACAAATATTTGCACAAGAGAGAGAATCAATTTCACTCGCAAGCAGACTAGTAAACCTTGCAACGTGCCTGTCTAAAAGCAACAGCAGGTAGACTCAGCCGATTTGGAAAGCCAAGCTTCGATCACATTGTCTGTTGATCAAAGGAAACTGGCAGGAAGCTTCTGACTAACAGTTAAAATCAGGTGTTGGGAAACTAGCAGTAAGCATTTGAGACACTTGGGTGCTTTTGTACAAGAAACTCAAAGTTAGCATGCAGGTACAGCAAGCAAGTAAGAAGACAAAGAGCATGTTTACCTTCATTGTAAGTGGATTCAAGTACAAAGATAATCAAGCTTTGTTACAATTGCACAGAGCGTTGGTGAAATCATAACAAGAATACTGTGTGGAATTCTGGTTTCCACTTTTAAGGAAACATACAAGAGGTACACATGTTGGAGGTGGACAAGCAAAACAAAAGAGGAGGGGCATGATGGATGTCAGGTGAATTCTTTGAGTGACAACCAAGTCAAATACAATAAGTTGAGAGAGGAGAAGTGGAAAATTCATTTGCAAAGATAGCTCGAGCGTGTAAAGACAATCAACACATAAGGTGGTCCAAAAAGCTTGCAGCAAGTCCTGAAGGGATAGCGAGAGATGGATTCAGTGCTATTATGGGCAAAAATAGTGATAAAAGTTTAGTACGGGGTAGACTAGAATACCTACCAAGTACCTTATATTGTGATAACTATAGAAGAACAGTCTGATAAAGTACTGGTAGAAATGGAGAAAACAGAGTGTGAAAATTGAATGAGGAGGTGCTAAAAATACTGGCTATGCTTAGGGTAGATCAGAAGCCTCATCTAGATGGCTGGTAGCACAGGAGCTAAAGGAAGTCAGAGTGAAGATAATGAGAGGGCTTGTTTTCATTTATCAAGCTTCCGAAAATATGCAGAGAATGGCAGATGTTACACTCTTCTCAACTATGAGATACAAATTAAGGGGAGTATGCCATTTGGCCTCTCAAACCCACTCCACCATGCGGTTAAATCATAGCTGACGTGATTACTCTGCATTCCCACTTAACTTCCAATAACTTTGTACCCACTAGCTCATCAAGAATCCATCTACCACTGCTTTAAAAACAAACATTTAACAATGTTGCTTCCACTGTTTCCAGAAGAAGAGAGCTCCAAAGACTCTGAAATCTGAGAAAAACATTCTCCTTACGTCTTTTTGGATAACACTTTATTTTTAAAGCAGTGATCCTTGGTTCTAGACTTTCCCACAAGAAGAAACATCCTTTCTACGTCCACCTTGTCAAAAATTCCAAGACCTTGTACTTCAATCAGGTCACCCACTTTAAAACTCCAGAGGATACAATTTCATCAACCAACTTGCCTCTTCTAGCTATTAGCCTAGCAGACCCTCTCTGAACTGCTTCCAATGCATTTACATCATTCCTTAACTATGGAGACCAATATTGTATATAATATGCCAGATGAGGTCTTACTAATGCTGTGTATAACTGAAGCGTAATCTCCTTACTTTTGTATTCAGTTCCCTTCACAGTAAATGATAACATTTTATTAGATTTTCTAATCACTTGCTGTATTGGCATATCAACTTTTGTCATTGTGATATGAGAACACCAAATCCTTTTGCATGATAACTCTACAATTACACATCATTTAGATCATTCCAAGCAAAATGGACAATTTCACATTTTCCAACATTATACTCAATTTGTCAGATCTTAACTCACTCACTTAACCTAGTTATATCTTTTTGCAGCCACCTTATGTCCTCTTCACAACTTTATCTTCATATCATCAGCAAATTTAGCAACCTTACTGAGTGAATGGAAAGCATATTACCACAAACAACAACTGTGATACCAACACAGACACACTGGTCCAGTCGTAAATGCAGGCCAGGGAACTAAACAGCTCCTTGTTTTTCAAAAAAATAGTACTATGGGATCATTTGCTTCCAGCTGTGAGGGCAGAAGGGACCTTGCTCCACATTATCACCACTTTTGGCACTGCATCAATAGGCTCGAGGGACTAAGCGTTTTACACCTGTTTCTGTTTTGTTAAATTTGAGTGTACAGCCTTGCAACAGCAACAGAGTATTTTACTACAATGTACATGTCATCTTCTAAAAATGAGATGCACATTACAGTAAAATACTTTGTTGCTATTGCAAGGCTATACACTCAAACTTAACAAAAAACAGGTGAGAGACATTTAATCCCTCCAGGCTATTTCACCATTCAGTTAGATAATGAAGGCTGTGCATCTCAAAGTCTCCGATCTACCAGCAGCGCCTCAAAAGAGTCTCTCAACACAGCCAGACAGAACCCCCAAAGGATGCGGTGAACCTTCGACAATTCGATTTCAACCCGGATAAACCTTGGAAAGCCGAAACAGTGTTTACCATAAATCCACACTTCATGGCAAGGCCGGCGCAGCAAGACAGCACTGTCCCCTGGCCGGCCGTGAAGCTCCCGAGTACCCCCCGGGCTACCCTTGGGCCAGGCTTCCGCCCGGGGGGGGGCGGGGGGGGGGGGGGGCGGTGAGGGGAAACCGGAACCAGGCCTACACCTCCTCCCGTTACTATGGGAACACACAACCTCTCACTCACCGGCTCGTCCCCGAACCTCAATCCGGGTAAACACACGCTCGGCTCACGTCACTTCCACTAGCCACGCCCCACCCATTTCCGATTCCTCCCAGTTAGTGCCGGTTTTGGTTCTGCTTTTTGAAGGTTCGTTGCGAGTCTGTTTCCTCGTGATCCTTCCTCATTTCTTTTTAACTTGAAGACTGGAATATTCTTCAGTGCTTGAGTACGTGATTTTTGGTGGTCGAACAGCCTATTTTTTCCTGTCGTCTTTGATTACCTCTTGGGTTACTGGCAGTCGTGTCCAAGAAGTTAATCTTTGATTCCAGCAGTTTCGAGGATAAGACCAAGAGGTTGGCGGCCCTAACCACACACTTTTCAGACCTCCATGAATTTGCACATCCCTATCAAATCTTCTCCTAATGTTCTGTTCTCTAAGGATAACAGTTCTGGCTTCTCCAATCTCTCAACGTAACAAGCGTCTCATTCTTGGGAGCATTTTTGTAAATCTTTCCTATGCCAGCTCCCATACATTCACATCCTTCCCAAAGTGCAGTGCTGAATCAGTGTTCTGTATAGATTCATCATAACCTTCTCGCCCTATGTGCAACACAAGTACCAAACAATGAGCACTCCTAAGAAGAGAGAATCTAAACATATCCCATTGACGTCCGGTGTGGTTATCTCCAGTCAGCATCAACATCTGGGTACCATTGAACAGAAACTGAACTGGAGTGGTCATACAGATACCGTGGATAAAGGAGCAGATCAGACTTTGCAAACTGTGGAATGAGTAAACCCATACTAGACATAAGATGCACTGCAACAACCTACCAAGTCCACTTTGACACCTTCCAAACTTTTGACCTGCCCAATAGAGAAGGACAAGGGCAGCAGATGCATAAGAATAACATACCTGAAAGTTCCCTTTTAGGTCACACATTTTCCTGATGTGGAACTGTATTGCTGTTCTTCATTTGCTGGATCAAAATTCTGGAATTCCCTTCCAAACAGTGCTGTGGTAATACCCACATCATGAATATTGCCATGGTTCAAGAAGTCTGCTTATTGCCATCTTCTTAAAGACAGTTGGGGTGGGCATCAAATGCTGGCATTGTTAGTAGTGCTCATAGTTCATAATAGCACTCTACCAGTTGCAGCTTGTGAATCTGAAAATGACCCACTTATTCATACACTCTACTCCCTGTTGGCTAGCCAATCTTCTAATGATACTTACTTGTGACCCCCTACACCATGAGCATTTATTTTATGTAGGAATCTTTGATGTGACACCTTATAATTGAAAGCTTTTTGGATATCGTAGAACATCACCTTTATAGGTTCCCCTTTATTCACCTTGCTTGTAAGTTCCTCATAAAAACTAATAAACAAGTCAAACATGGATTGCATTTCATAAAACCATATTGTCATTGACTACCTGATATGAGTTTTCAACTTCCCACTATTACCACCTTAATGGATTTTAGCATTTTTTTCAATGATAAATGTTAGGCTAACTGGTTTACAGCATCCTGTTTTCTGCTTCCCTTTCTTGATAGAGGTATTACATTGTCATTTTTAAATATTCTTGGGAGTTTTTTGCTTCTTCTGTAGTGAAGACAAACATAAAATTCCTGTTCAAAGCTTTTGCCAGTTTCTTGTTTCTCATTATTCCCTGTCTCATCATGTAGGGGACCAATACTCACTTTAGTTACTCTTTTCCTTTTTAAGTATTTGGGAACATCTTTACAATCTGCTTTTATATTTCTAGCTAGTTTTCTCTCATATTCTGATTTCTCTCTTTGCCTTAGCTATTCCTTGCTTGTTTCTAAGATCAGTCCAGTCTTCTGATCTACTATGTGTTATGGACCAGACCAACCATCCTTCAAAATATATCAAGAAGATACCTTAGATCCTAACTTTTTCTTATTTTATAGGTTGCCTTCCAGATGCAACTCAATTGGTCAAACTGCTCAACTTTAAGCAAGGCACACTGTATTTTTACACTACTGTTAAAATACCGCCAAAAATATAAAAGAATTGGCTTCACTGTGACTCTATTGAAATGCTTAACGAAAAATAAACTACTACTAATTGATTGTCCCAATAAAGTAACATCCTATAAACACACCCTTGCCAAAGGTAAATTCCATAAAATAGATTGTCTCACATGCAATTCTAGCACCAGGAAGAGAACCCCAGCTATTAGCTGTATCAGAGAGGAATAAGAGCTTCCACATCCAGCTTCAAGACCCTAGCAACTGCTACTGAAAGCTAAAGATGAAAAAAGTCCTGTCAGATGGTAGGAAAGCCACAGGCAGTGATAAAACCAGTGCATTTGATGCCAATTCCTGCAGTTGAAGAACCTTTTTTGTGGGTTATAATTGATTGTGTAGGTCCCCTCCCTAAAACCAAAAGTGGGAACCAGTATTTCCTAACCGTGTATTTACCAGGTTTCCAGAGGCAATTCCATTACGGAATGTCAAGGCAAAAATGGTTGTGGAGGAGTTGCTTGCTTTCTTTACCAATTATGGATTACCCAGGGGTATCCAGTCAGACCAAGTGTCCAATTTTACTGCCAAACTATTTAAGGAGGCATCACTTTAAATCAAGTACGTACCATCCTGAATCCCAGGGAGCATTGAAAAGGTGGCATCAGACCCTAAAGACCAAGCTGAGGGCTTATTGCCAGGATTACCCAAATGATTAGGATAAAGGTATCCCATTTATATTATTTGCTATTAGAGATTCTCCAAATGAATCGACTCAGTTTACTCCATTTGAATTGATATTCAGACACGAAGTAAGAGGGCCTTTAAAATTAATTAAGGAAAAGTCGATAGGTCTGAAGTCAGAGATCTCACAGTTGGATTATGTATCTGAGGTGAGAGAAAGATTGAATAGAGAAGATGAATTAGCTGGACAACATTTGAAGGTGGCACAGCACATAATGAAGCAAGAAGCAGATAAGAAATCTAAAGTGTGTACGTTTGCCCATGGGGATAAAGTATTGGTGCTGTCACCAGTGGTAGGAGATCCCTTCAAAGCAAAGTTTAGTGGTCCCTATCAGATTGAGAAGACATTAGGTCAGGTGAATTATCTGGTAAAGATGCGAGATAGGAAAAAAAGACTTATTGGGTATGTCATGTAAATATGCTGAAACCTTATTATGACAGATAAACAGGTATTAATTACTGCCACTCAGAGCAAAGAATCAAATCCAGATGATGTGGATTTTGATGTGCCCCAGAATAAATTGAATAATGAGGAAGTCCTTAAGGAATGGGATAAGGTAGTGAGCTATCTGACTGAGGAACAGGGAACTGAATTGAAAGACTTGTTACACTGCAGTGAGAACAAATGTAGAAATAGAATAGGGAGGACTAATACCATAATACATGAGATTGATGTAGGGACTGCTGTTCCAATAAAACAATACCCCTACAGGCTTAATCCTCTCAAAGCAGCGCAGGTTCAGAAGGAAGTGGAAGCAATGTTCCAAGAAGACATCATAGAGCTGAGTCAAAGTGAGTGGAGTTCGTCAATCATGTTGGTTCCCAAACCTGATGGTACTCAACAATTCTGTGTAGGCAATCGGAAGGTCAATGTCAAGAACAAATCTGACTCATACCCAATTCCAAGGCTGGAAGACTGTGTGGAAAAAGTAGGACAAGCTACTTACATCACAAATTTGGACTTACTTCGCGGCTACTAGCGAGTACCTTTGTTGGAGAGAGTGAAAGAAGTTTCTGCTTTTGTAACCCCAAATGAGCTATATCAATTTAAAGTAATGCCCTTTGGAATGAAAAATGTACCAGACACTTTTCAAAGACTTATGAACACAGTTGTTGCAGGATTGACCAATTGTGCCGTCTACATAGATTACTTAGTGATCTTTAGTCATTCGTGGAAAGATCACATGGAGCACTTGGCGGAGCTCTTTGAGAGATGATGGGAGGCAAAGTTGGTCATAAGCTTGGCAAAAACAGAATTCGCGAAGGTGGAAGTGACATTCTTAGGGCACAACATCAGATACGGACAGATGACACAGAGCAACATGAAGACGAAGACCATTGAGGAATTTCCAACACCATCCTTGAAGAAGGAAGTTGTACGATTTTTAGGACTGAGCTGTTTCTACAGGAAATTTGTACCAAACTTTAGTAGCATGGTGGCACAAAGAAGAACACAAAACTTCTGTGGTCAAACCAATGCCAGGACACATTTGAGAATTTAAAAGCAGTGTTAACCACTGCACCAGTTTTAGCCATGCCAAATTTTTTGAAACCCTTCAAATTTGCCATCAACACAAGCGATGTAGGGGTTGGCACTATGTTGTTACAGGAGGATGATTGTGGAATTGAAAGGTTAATTGGTCATTTTTCAAAAGACCTCAATATCTACCAGCAAAAATATTCCACCAGTTGAAAAGGAGTTATTGAATTTGGTCATGGCCTTACAACGTTTTAATATTTACATTGCAAACAATGCATCAGATGATTGTATATACCGATCACAATCGTTTGACATTTCTGGAAAGATTTAAGGACAAGAACACCAGATTATTTTGTTGGAGTCTTACGTTACAAGCATTTAATTTACAGATTGTACATGTTGCAGGTTGTGAAAATATTATTGCGGATGCTTTATCATGGATTTAAAAGAAAAATGAGAGACAACAAGGTGCAGGGCTGGATGAACACTGCAGGCCAAGCAGTATATTAGGAGCAGAGAGACTGACGTTTCGGGCCTAGACCCTTCATCAGAAAAAGGGGATGGGAAGGGGGTTCTGAAATAAATAGGGAGAGAGTGGGAGGCGGATAGAAGATGGATAGAGAAGAGGATAGGTGGAGAGGAAACAAACAGGTCGAAGAGGCGGGGATGGGGCCAGTAAAGGTGAGTGTAGGTGGGGAGTTAGGGAGGGGATAGGTCAGTCCAGGGAGGACGGACAGGTCAAGGGGGCAGGATGAGGTTAGTCAGTAGGAGATGGAGGTGCGGCTTGAGGTGGGAGGAGGGGATAGGTGGGAGGAAGAACAGGTTAGGGAGGCAGGGACGAGTTGGACTGGTTTTGGGATGCAGTAGGGGGAGGGGAGATTTTGAAACTTGTGAAATCCACATTGATACCATTGGGCTGCAGGGTTCCC